ACTACATGCCTTTGCAAGACGTCCTTCTCCAGATTTTCTGGAGACCCCTTTAGGTCCTGGCAGGCTGCTGTAAGGTCTCCCCTGAGCCTTCTCTTCTCCGGGCTGAACAAGCCCAACTCTCTCAGCCTGTCTTCATAGGAGAGGTGCTCCAGCACTCAGATCTTCATGGCCTCCTCCTCTGGGACTCATTCCAGCAGGTCCACATCCTTCTTATACTGGGGGCCCCAGAGCTGAACGCAGCACTGCAGGTGGGATCCCATGAGAGCAGAGGGGGAGAATCACCTCCCTTTACCAGCCAGTGATGCTTCTTTTGATGCAGCCCAGTATATAGTTGACTTTGTGGCCTGTAAGTGCACATTGCTGGCTCATGTTGAGCTTCCTACCAATCAACATTGCTGCAGTATAAAAAACAGCACTAGACTGGGTGTATCTATTGGAAAGTAATAATAGAGACCACTTGATGAAAGTTCCTGGTCATTATTTTCTCAAGGTATTTTGTGGAAGCACTGACATTTCACTGAAGCTGAAGAAATACATTTAATTTCACTTAATTCTTTTCTGCAATTTCTGCCTCAGGGTGTTACATATTATTATTGTGTGCTGCTAAGTACCTGTTGTGTTTTATTCCAAGGTGACTGAAATAATTATTTTTTTGAGTTACTAAAGCATTTGGAGAGCTTCCAGGATGAAAGTGAATACAGAAATGCCAAACATCTACTATTCGAATAGATTGCCATCAGTTCTCCATGAACTATCCCATCTAATCCAAAAAACCCACTGTGATTTCACAAAGAGTCTTGAGAACGTTTGCTTTAAATTGAAATACTCTATTTCTGCTATACCAAGAACACTGTTAATATTGATCCAGGTGCTCTACAGAGCAATCTAATCTTTTCATTGTGGCACTATTGAAAATCTGGTCTAGTGCACTGGTAAAACTGCATCTCTCAAAGTTACCAACATTAAAAAAGCAAATTGTTACATTTTTCATTAATTAAAAAAGGCTTATAATAGCATTAATGATCCTTTCGTCAGACTGTGTCATTTAGGTAATGGCAGCCTAACACATTAACTTCCCTTGGCTTCGCCTTGGCCTTCTAAGGCCTCCAACTGATTATTACCTAATTTGTAAAGTCTCCCAAATGGGTCATTAGCTCTTAAATAGATTTCTCCTGCTGTTTGGTATATACCGTGGAAACAGTAGGCTGTCAGAGACATAACTGGTTTCAAAGTAGCTCTTTCTGGGAAAAGAAAAAAAAGAGGTAAAAGAAATGCAAGATTAAATTAAGTTTGTGAAATGCATCAGGGCTTGAAATATCCCTGGAACACGATTAACTAAGACATCACACATTTCCCCCACCCCCCACAGAAGAGGACTGGCATCAGAATGTGTGCAAGCATATGTGCCCTTGTAAGCACCTGCAATTCCTGCTGCTTCCAATCCTTAACAGGCAATCGTGCAACCAAGCAGTCACTTAATGTGCTAAACCAGGAAACCAAGGAGAAAGGCTCAAGGGACCAGATTCTGTGCTTCTGGCATGGTCACCTTCCCTCTCTGCCTCCCCAGCTCAGCCTAGAAACTGTGAACCAAAGGCAGAGCAACCTCAGACCGCAAGAAATCAGCAGCATTTGGCCCAGGATACACTACGCTCACTGACCAAATTTGTGGTAACAGCCGCTGCCAAGTGAGAAAAGAAAAAGTTTGGCCTTTCTCAGCCATAAAATTACATTTTCCTATTTTTTGTTCTTACAATATGATGTAGAGCATTAGACTGAAACAAGTCAGTGTGACTAAGTAAAAACTCTTTGTGCTAACCCACTCATCTGCAAGCTATTCATGTGAAACAGAATAAATGACTACTGGCCAGCAGTATCTGCACTGCAGGAACTTTGAATATGTAGGTGTTAAATAAATTACATGTTTCCACACAAGGAAATAACACTTAAGGTATAATAACACTCCAACTTTTTCAACTAAACTCAACTAATATAACTTCAGTATTAGCAAATGCTTCCATTTGTTTATGCAGCAACTTTTGTTCTATTCTTTCACTTTTATAAGTCTTTCAGACTCCTTCCTCTTCTCTGGCTCTCTCAGGTTTACGTATTTTCAATACAAAATCACCACCTCTTTCTGAAAATAGGCTACTCTGTACTAGTTCTACCTGGTTTGCTGAAAGGGCAATACCCTTTCATGTAATATAAAACACCTTTATGTTTTATGCTGTTAGCAAGGACAGGAGATGTGTCCTTGGAGACTAAAATCACTGCCTGGTATGGCTCCATATATGGAGATCTGCAGAACACTAATTGACCTACTAAATTCAATATCCTCACTAATGTTTTCATAGCAAACAAACAGTTCTCTATCACTATGAAATTCCCAATTTCCTATTTCTATAATTTTCCCATGAAATAAGCCACGTATACATTGTATGTACTCCAGTCACTGACCTTTATATACAATCACTGACCCGCAATACCATCACAGGCAACATGCAATCGTAAAGCTGAAAACAGAGGACTTCATGATCAAATACTTCTAGTTCTTTTCCAGAAATGCCTTTTTATTTAAGAAATCTGCTTTATAACTTGTTCTGACAAATGTCATGGCTGGAGAAATTCTTCCACTAAGGGAAGATTTATGATCTGTAGGAGTTTTCTTTCTCTGTATTTTTCAGGACAGTGGATTCATCAAACACAAAGTGCTCTTTGATTTGTGTGTCTGCATGTTCAGCACAAAGAAATGAAGTACAGGAATGGGAAAAATGACAATACTCTTTATCTACAGGTAACATTTTGGCACAAAATAGCATCTGGTGTGATCAGCTGGAAAGTGCTGAGGTACAAGCACAGAATGATGTGATAGGAACAGGATTCCCGCAGAGAAAATTATGCTTATTCTGTTCTTCATGCTGGCCACCATGTTGGCAGGCACATCAATACCCCAGCAGATGGTTTTGAGTAGGGACTAAAAACATACTGCATGCAGAAGGTTGCCCTTCATGGAAGGATTTCATCTGAGGAACATCCATCTCTTGAGAGGTCAAGGGTACCAGCTGAAATGTCACAGGACATAGCCCACAGCAGCAGAGCAGAAGCAGTTGTAAGGATAACCTAGTTTAGGACTTGTCACACCTGAGCAGCAAAAGAGAAATTACTTCCTTGGAGTCTTCTCCAAGGAACCAGCAGCTCAAAACCTGTGATGCAGCTCAGTCTTCCACTGACTGGGTTACAAATACCTAGGTAGCCAGTGGGCCTCTGATTCAAGGCTCAGTTTGGCCAAGGGTCACAACACAGATCTTCTGTACTTAGACTGGTGAGGACTGAGGCGATTTGCGCTTTCAAGTGGAGTTTCAAGAGGGTAAGGTTAGTCAGCCTGGAAAGGACAAATACCACTATAAAATCTGAGCAAGAACATTCAATAAGGTCTTGTTTACAAGAAAGCCTCTGAATAACTTTTATGTTCAAAGTTATAAAGTTGCTTGAGTGCTTCCTGGAATCAGGACTGAATGCCAAAAATACCAGACTTAGGCTGTCAGCTGACTTCACTGAGATATGGCACCACCTTTTGCAAGCTGCTTTCTTATTCATTAATACACTGATCTACCTGAAGAGAAAATGAGGGCTACACTGGAAAACATCTAAATGAGTTCTGATCTTTGGGAATCAGTAGTAATCTGCAGTCTCTCCCTCTGAAATGGACCTCATACCACAGCTGTCCAGGACTCTAGGTGCCATATTTTTGCCACCTTTCACTGTTTTGGCTGTAGCATTCTCAAACTGTCCAGCCACCCAACTCAAGCTAAGGGTGTTCAGCACTTTTAAATCCTGAAAGAGAACCCCTGTCTTTGTGGTTTGCATATAAAAATGAGAAATATGTTAGTCTTACAACTGAAGGATGATTCTTTACGAGATACTCTCTTCTGAAGTCAAACAGCTGCCCCTGAATTACAGTTAACTTCGTAAGTATACGGAAAATTTTAAGTCATAAGGGTCTGTACTTCATATAGCGGAGGGTAAGTAATTTTGAAGAATATGCATGACAAATGCATAAAAGTATTATTCGGTGACTTACAGTTTTAAAAAGGCCAAGACAACAGTCAAAAGTAGTCTGATGCTCACAGTTTCTATGCTCATCTCTTTGGTTAGGCTGAATATCATTTTTACTGGGAAACAATATGATAAAAGAAGTCTTTATGCAACCCAATTGAAGATAAAAATGTGATGTTTGAGTATTTGGTTTGTGTTTCTTCTCCCACTTGTGAGTGTTCCTGATTCAGTATTTTTAAAAAATCAAAGTATCATTTGCTGATAAAAAGTCATTGTAGCATATTTCCAATGTATACAGTTTTTAATACCAGAGAAATCAGCTATAAATTAGTGTTTCACATATAAAAATGCTCTTTATGTTTTACCTTTCAGACCACAAACTAGTCTCACACTATTTAAAAGTAAAAACCTGCACTTGGTCAAAAAATAATACCCGTCATTTTTGGTTACTGAATAACTCTGATAGCACTTCTCCCTGCAATGTGCTTATCAGGCCAACATGCACAGCTGATCACTGGATATGATCAGTCTGAAGCAGAAATTAAAAATAGCTTCAATCTTTCTTGTTCTTCCTTATTCTCCTCATTTAAAGGAAAGGTGTAACACATACTTGAAGGCAACAGTTGGATGTTCTCCCAGAATAAGCCCCAGCAGCTGCCTCCTGTGCTTTTGAAACAGCTTGTTGAACCATTTGTAGCACTTGCATGTTCTTTCTTGGGAAGACCCTCACTCCTGTGTGCTGTAAGGGGCTGCAGGTGAAGCTAAGCACTGATGCTAAGCACTGCTCATCAGGCACTAACTTGCAGGAACTGTTTCTTTGGTTACGTGTTGTTTCATCATGAAACATGGAAGGTCCAGAGTGATCAGTATTTTTCTCCATCCTGAGCCATGGTGACCCTCCCAGGTTATTTCAACACTTAGCCATATGAGTTGATGCAGACAGCCATATGTGTTGATGCAGACCCCATCATATCTGTCCCTGAGCCGATAATATTTGTCTTAATGGTGCTGGCTGTTTCAACAGGCAGTTAATATCCATGTGAAGCCATGTAGTTATTTCCCTGAATATCCAGGGTATGGAGGGGGTGGGGGATACTGTATCGAAGTCTGTGGGGTTGGAGTATAAGGTGGAGGTAGGTCAACTGGGTACTCCATTTCATATTCATAACTGTATGGTGGTGGAGCCACTGGAATGGGAGAAAGAAGAAGACATAGTTACAAATCTTTTTATTCAGATGCAGGCCCCCGGATATTTTCTAGTTGACATTCAGACTTCCTTACAACAGATGTAAAGTCTCCTAGCTATGCACTTTCTTTGTTTTCAGACTGTCATTAAACAGCCACTTTTGTCAATGTAAGCTCTGCTTAGCTGTGAGCTCACCAGAATGCTGTGCTGGTAACAGTATTTGAGTGGCCATATAGCAGATGACACCAGGATGATGTGGCAGAGCTAAACTTTTTTAGGGGAGGAAGGTTAGGTTTTTATCAGATCCATTCCATTCCATCCCCTTCAGCAGCAACATGGATTTATGTTGTCTCAGTATAACAACATATTTTTTGCTGATCTCCACAGACCTCTCAAACACCCTCTCAAACCCCAGGAGATGTGTGACATGCCATATCATGCCAAACATAACAGCATCACACTTCCCAGAGCAAACGCTGGACATCTTCCTAGGTCTCAGGCCGAGTTAAAACAAAGCTTTTGCCTTGTTCACCCTAAAAGAGACATCTGAGGAGAACCCAGTGTTTGTAAACTGGGTCAGGCAGTTTTGTTAGAGAAACAACAAAAATATTCACAAACAGCTGAAAACATTTTCTCAACTACTTCTACTAAAACTTAGACAAGAAGGATTCGTTACTGCACAGTAAATGCTGCAGAGTGATAGCATGGTAGGAACTGAAGGCTCCATATCAAGACTGCATTAGTTGCTACAAATGTAAAGGTCCAGAGTCTGCTCATGTCTCCACAGATGGAGATACATCCCCTCCCTAGATGCCTCAAGCAGACTGGCAGTGAAATAGCACTTGAGTAGAGAGGAAACAGAAACCTAAGATGTATATGATGGGGGGAAGAGACACAAATCCCATTGTGTCATAGAAAGCACTCCCTGCCCTCTGGAAACCCAGCTTTTGCTGTGGCTGAGGCCAAAGGGCTCCACTTGGCTGCTCCCATCCAAAACAGTTAATGGCAGTGGGGAGGGTTTGTCACAAATCCTGCAGCCAAAGCCAGGTCAGTCATTACTCCAGAATGTTCATGACAGCAGGGAACAGAGAAATCATTTCAGAGCTTCCCCATCCTCTAAAAACTGCTGCTGCTGCTGATAGGAAGAACTGCTCGAACTAATGTTTGCAGCAGGAAGCAGGAGCGTGCAGAGTCAAACTGCCTGGAGGTGGAGACTGGGGTGAGTCATTGCAGGAACAGACTTGGGGAGGAAAAGGCTACAGCCCTGGAATCTTCATTTTGCTCTTGTTCTTACAGCTTGTAGCAACTGTTATTTTCTGAAGTAGCTCTTCAGCAATTCATGGTTGAGAATATTGCAGTTTTCTTTCATTACTCATCTCTCTATGCAAAACAGTATTACAATGATAAGACTGATTATAGATGGTTTTAGTTTAACTGGAAAGTAAGAACATGAGGGAGCAAACAGACACTGACAGCAGTGAATGTGATAAAGGAACTCATAATAAATATTGCATAGCTTGCCTATAAGCATCCATAATGCACCTGGGATTTGCTGCAACCTTTGCAACATGAGGGAATATAAAGGCAGGGATCTCTGAGTGGGATAAGGGAATTTCATCCCTCAAACACCATTGCCTTTTATTACAGTGAACTCGAATTATCCCAAGGCAATCACTCCTGGATTTGTAATTAATAATGCCACTGAAGCAGAGGCACAGCTGCATTGTATAAACACTGTTAGACTGCTTCCAGGGTCAGCTCTCCTCTTCAGCAATGTGGCCACTTTCACATGGTGGGGAGTCCAGACAAATGAGCCTTGCAAGACCCCAGCTGGCTCAGTGCAGATCCACCTTCGGTGCTCCTGTACCCCAGTCACAGACTGATGCAAGCTAACAAGTGTGGTGCAGAACGTGGCTTTGCACAGAGCTACCTCAGGTACAGTGTGATGTACCAATCCCCACTCACTATGGGCACAACTGTGCTGCAGCAGATGCGTGAGGGGCCCTTATTCTCCCCCGTGGTGCTCCAGGGCCTGTGACAGCTGACTAGCTCAGTGCCAGAACTGACTTAGGCTCTGTGCTGAGCCTAAAATTGTGCCTGGTGCTGCCCTCCACCTGAAAAAACATTATGCCAAAACAATTTTAACCCACAGACAAGCCTGCACTGAGCATATTCAACATGCAGCCAACTTTGACCAAGGCACAAGGGACATCTCTGCACCATGCTACAAGTTCCTATCAATCCAGGCATGGTGCAAGGCTGATGCAGAGAACTAGCTGGGATCCAGCACCACATGCCAGGCAGCAGTTCCTCCTGGGACTCACAGCAGAGAACACCCTGCAAAGAAGCCTGTGTGCCTCTGGAGAACTCATGTGGGATCCTGCATCACCCAGCAGGGCTGGTGAGCTCTGGCCAAATACCAGCCAGCTCGGGCTGCATTAGACTTCACATAGCACCACTTGAAGCCTTTGTGCTATGATCCACAGACCTTGTCCAGGTTTTTCCCTCGTTGTGGTATGCTGGGAACCTGTTACATCGGGCAATGAAAGGGAGCTGACTGCACATGAACATGAGCAAATACAAGAACCGGAATACAAAAGAACAACTTGATCCATTGCCAGAGAGCCTCTGGCACAGGAGAAGATCTATCTGCACAGTGCAGCACTGCCCTGAGCGAGGTCCCACTGTGCTACTGCAGGCACCGCAAGCCATACAGCTGTGTGAGTATGGCACCTGGCCAGACCTCATTAGCCCACTGAGTAGCTGAATAAATTCGCCCAGGCAGAATGCTGCACTGACGAGCACTGTGCACGCTGAGCTGTCTTGCGTTTCTCAGCAAGGAGTCATGCCGTTCCCCTCCAGACTGAGAATAGCCTCCTGCTGTATTCACATCCCCTGTTTACTGTGGAGCCATAACTATCCAAAGATACACTATCACGAACACCAGCACTCTAGGAGGGGTGTCATTTTGCTTCCTTACCTGGGTATGTGCTGATAGTGTTGATGTGCGTAGCTCGGATGACCCCTACTCGAGTCCCACGGCTGTTCTTCATGCACATGCAGATACAGATGGCAATCCCAGCAATCACTCCCATTATAAATACAATACCAAAAACGATTCCAGCTATCGCTGTGCCTCTGCAAGGAGAATGAAAACATGCAGTCAGTCTCAGACAACTAATGTTTACAAAACAAAATTCTCTCCCAGAAGCAGCCCCCAGTTGAGAAAAGAAGCGCATTATTGATTACTGGAAGTGCTGCAAATTCTGATCCATCACGGCATCTGAATAGAAGAAAGATCTTTGAGACCAAATTGGCAAACTCTGTCAAAGTTGGTTTTTCAATCGTGCCAGCTCACTATGCCAATTTACCATATATTAAATCCTCCCATTCTAGGGCCATCTGAATTTAACAACTTTTAAATATTATTGAGAATAATTTCTTCCCTTTCCCCTCATCACACAAGACTTTTTTTTTTTTCTCCCTAAAAGCATTGCTATGATTTTCTTTTGAAAAGAAAGAGTAAGTTATCCCCAGTAATATATTCCAGAAGCATCCTGAAGCGCCTGCATGCTGTGCTTCCACAGGAAAGCTTTTGCCATTGTTTTATCTTAGGTCAAAAAGTCCTTCTGCTGTGCTTCTGAGCCTGCACATTAAGGAGAGCCTCCTCTTCTTTAAGATGAGCAGCAAGAAGCAAAGCAAATGCCTGCTCTTCCACACATCTGCTGCTGCAGCTGGCACAAGTATTTGAGACTTAAATGATTTCTTTTAAAAAGGTCCAGAGGAAAGAATTTAGCTCATCCCTTGAAGTAATGAATCAGACCTTCCTTGAAATTATATAGAGAGGAAAGAAAGCCTTATTGCATGGATACATGGGAGAAAAACCTCACCAAGAGGCACTGAAGAGCTCCCAATAATACTGAGGGCAAAATCATCCTTTCTGATGAACCCTAGTTCGCTCAGCTTTGTTGTCAGGTACAGGCAATGAAGCATAAGTTACATGAAAGATGGTATTTACAGCCTACCCTTTTATGAAAAAAAAAACAGTGACTTGCCAGAATATTCTTACTCTGTGCATGTCTTCATCTTCCAGCAAAGGCTTCAAATAGCAACCTTGATGGCATCTTTTTTACTGGACATTTTAATTAATCCAAACTGACAGTCTGTTAACATGCATAAACTCCACTAGGAAGCACTTCCCCATAGACGTGTGGGAACACATAGCAGGCCTGAGTTTCAAACTGCTGCCTTACACCGCACTGGCTGCCACAAAGTCAGCAAGGGTCAGAGGGGACTCAATATTTGAAAAATCAGACGTTCTGCTCAGGAACCTAAATATGAGTTTAAGAGCTTGTTTTTAGGCCCCAACTGCATTCAGGAACTTGGCCAAGATTTGCAGTACAATTATGGAACTGCACAGCATAAATAAACATAGACAATTTGCTGTCTTACTAAAATACACTGCCAGGGAGCTAAACTGCTCTCTGCTGTTATGTAGCAATGAATGAGGAGTGTGCAGGGAGAGCAAACCTGTTAATATTTTGCAGAATATATAAAGGCCTAATTTGCAAAACCCTTTGTCATGGCAGCAAGCACCTGGCCATAAAACCAGTAGCTCAAAACACTGATGTGACCAAGTGCTTTGGTATTAACCACCATGAGTAACAGAGAAACTGCATTACAGAGTTGCAGGGAACTGTGACACTGAAACGATCCCTCTCCCAGGTGGAAGAAGCAGGACCAGCCACTGTTGACTACTGGCCTCAAGCCCTGCATTAGATTTCTGCTTTTTACACAGTCCACTGCTGCCCAGCTCCTGCATCCCAAGTATGTTCTGCCTGCGCGATCTGCTCAAATCCAGACACCACAAAGGTTTCTAGCACTTCCGACCAGCTGCATCCTGAGGAAAACCCAACCTTCATCCTAAGGGCTGACAGAAGTGGGTAACACACAACATGTGTTACCTTTCCACTGCTAGCTTACAACTTCTATATGAATAAAGCCCATTTTAAACACAGTTTAAATAGAGTTTGTCTCAGCAAAAGTATCCCATTCATTCCAGAAGTGGTCAGCCACATGCCATTTGCTCATCTGCCCTGAGCGATGGGTTGCACTCTTCGTGTGCCAGTGCCTACCAGACACCCCAGCCTCACACCCAAGCCCACTCTACCCTCCATGAACAGTAACTGCTCCAAAGCAATATTGCTCCACTAGTTTAAATGATGATTCTGTGATACTTTACATAAGAAGTAAAAGTATTCATAAGGAAAGGAAAAAAAGATTACAAAAGGTCTGATACCATCTTCAAAAGAAGTTTCCACCTTTCCTGAGATATTAAGCAGATAATTATAGACTTGCCAGCTTGCTTTGGGTAATAATGCCAAGATCTGAAGGACTCACTTGCAGTCCTACAGCTTTTCCTATTGACCCCTTGGAGCTGTTGGTTGACTGGTGCTTTGCTGTCTCTGCAAAGAGAAGTGGCAGAGCAAGTCAAAGCTGTAGAAAACCCCTCTGTATCTGCCTGTACCTGAAAGTCAGAAAGGGCTAAATCCACTGGCAAAACTTCAAAGTTGGAAAAGGCCTCTCAGACTAGATGCAACCACACTGGAAAGCAAAAATCCACTTCTAGCCAGACTAGCAAACCTAGGTCAGCAAGCAAAACATGGAATATCCACTATATCCTTGCTGATCCCCTGTGTAGCTCCTCCTGGTATAGCCATGAACCAGAAACAAAAATGGTCACTGAGGAAAGCTTTGCTGACAAAACTGGTTAGTGCAAGTCTTGCTCACAGCTCTGAAATCAGGAAAAGAAGTGGTTTAAATAGCCAGATCCACCGCTGCTTGTGGATTCAGGTTTTCACACTGCAGTGGTAAATTTAGACCCCCTGTGGATGGTTATGCAAGGACAGCCTGAGATATGGAGCAGAAGATGTAGGTCACTTTTAAAATTCTTTTACAGCCTGAGTACCAGCAGAAAGGTGCTTGCTGGTCTCGGTGGGCTTCAGATCAGACCCAATGCCACACACGTGAAATTGTTCCAGGAATCAAGTGGTTGAGTTGAAAAGGATCTGTCTGAGAGGACTGCAAGAGATGTACTCTCCTGAACATATATAATGCTGTACCACTTTCTGACAGTGAGTTAAAACATAAACTCAACATAATTCAGAGACCTGCGGCTCTTGCCACTCACAATGGCTCTCAATAAACCCACGAGCACTCTGCCTCTAAACATCAGGCTGCACCTTCTCAGCACTAAATCCTGGCAGCACAATAGTCACGCAGCACCTGTTGTGGCCACACAGCACAAAAATAAATGCTTGTTCTTACCGTGGAAAGCTGACGGTATGACTAGAAGGTATGGAGAAAAATAAGCATGCATATTTTACAAAATGGTGAAGTTTCTCTTCATGCTAGTGGGTAATTTTTGAAAATAAATACCCCATTAACTAAGTATTCCTTGGCTTATATTTAAAGATGCTTGCTTTGCCTCTCTCTCACTGACATTTTATACCTCTGCATAGACACACAGAGGATAGAGATTTTTTACGCTATCACCACCACAGAGCTGTTCAAGGAAAAGTGCCTAAGAGAAAAAGGACACTATAAAGCAAAAGAAGACCTAGAAACCACACAGCAGAGTCACATAGCAACTAGGAAGTTAGAAATAAAGGATAAACTTTGAAATGGAGCAACCTGAAGGAAAACATTATGCAAAGTCTTTTACAGAAACAAAGCCAATGAAGGGAAAAAGACTGCTACAGAAAAACGATGCAGAGAAAAGTAAAGATGGAGAGGGGGAGAAGTAATTTTAAAGCTGCGGAAGTGTCAAGAGACATTGTCAAGGTAAAAATCAGATATTCAAAGCAGCAGCTTTCCACCAGCTTTTAGCAACATCCTGCTGGAAAGCGTACAAATCTCATTCACAGTTTAACATTTCTGACCCAGCAGAACCCAGTGCAGGGGATCAGGCCTTTTGCTGGTGCCACCAAGGCCCTGGCAATGCTGGAGCAGGGCAGAGCTCTAACTGCTCCTGGACTTGGTGCAGCTGAGGTGCTTGGGGTCAGATAACCCGTCCCTTGGGGGATCTAGTAACCTGGGTGTTTTACACAAGCGGCAGAGGTGTCACCAGTGATTACTCCATCCTATGACAGAGTTGAGATAGCTGGAGAAAAGGTGAGAGACTGAAGAGCAGCCCTGATCCTTTGCGTTTTAATGAGTGGGAATGGAGTTCATTTAGTGCCCCTTTCCCCTCCATAAGGCTGCTACTTCAGGAGTTAGGCAAGCAAAGTGGATGGCAAACTTGCCCAAGATGAATACCACTTCCATGGTCTTCTGCACTTTGCAGACAATGGATCTCAGGGGCCTAAAATTCTTATGGCTCAATAGGATAGTGTTTCCTGAAGGAAGAATGATTACTGGGCAGGCAACTTTTAAATGCATTACCAACATTTGGGAGCCAGGCATACATGGCAGGCACTGCTGTATAGCAAGGACTTTGTTGGCCTCTGTTTTTCCTTTTTGAGTTCTGCCTTAACTTCATATGTGGAGCATAAAACTTTGTCATGGAGCCTGGTTTATTAGTACAGAAATAACTACAAAGAAAAGAAAAAACCTTTCAGACAGCTTTTTCAGAAAGCACACAGACCGCAGTGCAAAATGTGATAAGCCCCATCGCCACTGAGACCGTCACTCCTGAGGCTTCCTATTTGCCCCTGCTTTCCACCCAGGGATCTTCAGCAAAGTGCATGTCCCAAACACCCCACATCACTGCAGCCAAGGAATGCTATGCAGGATGGCCCCTCCAGCCTTCTCCTGCCTCTGAAGTGAGCTCAGGACTGGCTCCAGTTATGGGTCAGGGCAAACCAGCTGAAGCACAGAGGGGGAGATGCTCACCAACCCAGCCAAGCTGCATCACAGACCTCCAGCCACATGCTTCCATCCCAGTGCTGCTTCAATCTCCACCCAAACCCCTCCTGCTGAAACTTGGAATGCTCTCCTTCCCCAATGTTTGCACTCATTCCTCCACGCTTGCACCTACTCAGTGTGCCAGGACAGCCCCAGCTGCTGGCACTGTTCTCCTCCAAGGAAGCCATGGGGACAGTTACCATTTGCACATCCTCCCGTATCATCATCTGGCA